GTGGGTATTTTGTTCAGACGAGATGCAGTTTTTCACAATATTCAGAGTTGAAACTATCATTTACAATTTTTCGATATTTTTGAAAGTTAAAACTAAGTCAATATTTATTTTTATTTAATTTTTTGATTGACAAGAAATACCGTCTAATCTTACAAATCATAATTGTTCAATGTCTTAATGGCTTTCAAAATTAATTAAAACTAAAAACATTGGTTACTGTTATTTTAAAAATCTACTGCAATTATACCGAATACAAAAATATAAAAGCAGTTATATCTTGTGCAAATATTATAGAGATTATTGAAATGCAATTACAGTTGAATTACTAAGAAGTATAATTTTTTTTTTTTTAATTTTTTTTAAGGAAATTTAAATTTTACCGTGAAATTAATACATGTGCAGAAAACAAATATGTTTGAAAATTTGGTCGAGCAAAGTCAACAGAAACCTTTTGTAATAGTCCGATAGCTGAATAATATAATTTTCAGTCATTTAATTTCAAAAAGTATAAGTGCATTTGTTAAATATAAAATGATTATATACGTAAATACGAACGAATTTTGCTGTACAAATAAACTGAATAATAAATGTAGGTAGTAAACAAAAGCGATGTTATGTAGTAACGATATATTGCATGCATTATATGTTTTTGCGAAATCGTATGATGGATTTTAATTGGGTGATATTCCTATTGAAGGAAAAAAAATCGACAGTTCAAGAGGATGAGAATTATTCGGTACTGAGTAAAATAAAATAAGTTTCACTGCACTACGCAGTACTCGTAATAAAAAAAAATAAGTACACCGGGGATACGTATGTCACTAAATTCTAGTTACTTCAATCGTTAATATATCAAATCAAAAGTACCTCGTTTGTTTGAATTAAAGAAGGATTATAATACAAAGAATATGACTATTTACATGTTCCCAGAAAAACCTTCGATGAATCCTAATGCTCATTTAATTGATCTGAGAGCGATTTTCATAGTGTACTTCCTCTCTATGTACGCGTCCAATATAATGATAAAGTTCGCGTACAAATTGTACACTTTACATACATAATTAAGCCCGTGTGCATATTAAACCGCATCCGAAGACGAGCGTTTCGACCTATAAAGTCACTCAGTTGCGATGCAGCTCGGTGATGCCTTCGGAGTGAAGTTTAGAATTACATAATGGCAACAACTAGTAATTTTACGCTATTGTATATTAGTCGAGTTTTAGAGAGAATTTAACGTAGCGCGGCAGCGTGTAAATATTAAAGTCATATTACATGCACTGACTAGCAGCGCGACAGGTTTAGATTTTCGTTTGTCCTCAGTTTTATTTCGAAAATCCTTCGTACATAATTAAATGTTCATTAGAGTCGACGTGTCAAGAGAAATATAGCAACGTGTGGAGGAGCAACGTCATTGTATATACAAAGGGATTATCGGACAGAAAAAAAATAACAAATATACATTGTTATATATATATATATACCAACATAAACTACTATTGTCATAAACCTAATGAAGGGAATCCAATTCGTTACACAAAAACAATATATATAATAATAGGTATTAGGATTTACTACGTGCACGTTATTATACGCGTTATAAAAGGATTTAGAGGCCGTATTTAAACGTGTAGTACGCATAGTCAGTACAGACATTATATATCTGTGACCTACCCTTGTTACGTTACCGATATAAACTCTTCGGAATAATAATATACTCTCTTCGTACGTCTTAAACATTGGCGGAACCAGGATTTATTTTAGGAAAACGAGAGATATTGATTAGTTATATAACACGTACATACCAAAAACGAAAAAATTAGTACTTAATTAAATAGAAAACTATATTTATAAAAATAAATTACGTTTTACGATAAGGTTTGGTTCGAAGAAACGCAGAGTATGATATCTATGTGTTTCAAATTGTTTAAGATTTTCCGAAATTAATTTCGGACGGGGGGCTAACGTGATTTAATTTAACATCAATTTTTCTCAACTAGTACGTTATAATAATATATATATATAGTATTTAAACTTTTATAAGGTAACCGAGATGCGCACTCGAGGAATAAGTTTATAAATTATATTCGTATACACTGTAATATATAGATACTGGATAACATCTAAGCGACCGATAACTAATCGCCAACGGTTTTAGAATAATTAGTGTAATAGTATACATACGTATACACCGTATTATACTGTATACGAATTGGTATACGGTGTAATGAATGATGTTCACTTCACAAAGATTCCTCACGGAGAGACATATACAATACGCAAAACGAATTGTGTAACGCATGACATGCTCACGTACGTATATATATATGATATAACTACTGATAGTTTAAATATGTTTATACATAAATCATATAATTTTACATTTAATAATTTAAACTACAATCGTATGAATATATACAAGTATAATAATAAAAAAAAATCAGTACATTGTGGTAAAATATTGTCCAAATAATACTAATCTTGTTATATAAAAAAAAAAAAAATAGTAATGTTAAAAGTGATAGCGACGTAAGGACTCACCATGAGTCCACTCTTACACTTACTACATTTGTTTTATTTTTTTCGTTCGTAGTAGTTGAGATTTAATAAAGAAACCTTTCGCGTGACTTACCTGAAACAAAAAATAAAAACTATTAGGCAAACATAATAATAAACCAACACGATTAACTGTATATTAATACAATACACATAGAAATGTACATTTGTGCGTTAATTAATATCCCATATGTATACCTTTTAACAACTTTCGATTTGATTTCATTATTAAGTGTACGCAGAGAGAAATACACGATAAATGTACTTATACATGACGCAATATTTAATACAATATCAATACACGCGATGGTATACATCGAAATCGAATTATACTCGAGAAAGTTTAAATTCTATTACAATACGTTTACACAAATTCCTATGAATTTTTATCATGACGATACATTATAATAACATAATACGTGTTAACAGCGGCAATGATTCCTCAGCATGCTGCAAACACGTATTGTAACAGTCGCGCGGAAGCACCTATACCTACGACCGCGAGAAAATTATTCTATTCGAAGAAAAAATGATCTACAAACGGATATAGGCAGACGTTTATATATTGTACATTATTGAATTACGCAACGTCTTAAACCTAACCGTATTTTTATACCTGTTCGTCCCGGCTCAGCATGAAAATTAAACGACTCGATATAATATATTATTTCGTTATACTACGGTGGTTACACAACGCACGATTTGTCCGCCGCGTATGTAACAACGCGCGTTTTATCGAATAAATCTAATTTCGTGAACGCGATGCAGTGTTTACCCCCCTGGAGCCGTCACAATAAGACATGTAATCGAAACGACTCCCGTGATGGGAGAGACGCAAACTCAGTAGGCACACAGCTACTACATACATCATCGTAATACGAACGCGTTCCGGCTTTATGGTTCATATAATTCAACCAGTACAGCGGTTAATGACAAAGAACGAAACCACCATCAGGTCTATATTATAATATATTATTATTTTACGATTTAGTATTATTACGGATCCACGCGCGCGTACCCTACGCGTCCATTATTTCTCACATCCATTCCACTTCACCGGTAAACCACCCTACACAACCGCGTACCTCGAGTACTACGACTACTAGTGCACTGTCTTCAATGATATTTGATCCCGATAGAATTCGATTGCTCAATTTTCAAGGTCCCCAGACGACGTTTTTTTTTTTTATTTTTAATTTTTTTTTTATACCGTATAGATTTACATTATATCATACGGATATATGGCGAACGGATTTTATAGTGATGATCTTTTAACCTGTAATTTATATAGTATTATATTATGAACGTTGTAGCGTAGTCGGAGATTGTGAGATTGCTTTTTTTTTTTTTTTAACGACGAGATAGATCGTAGTCGTCCGAAATTATTTATATTTATCTAATACGAATTCGTACAATGATGATGTTTGTTATTACATTTACGTTTATAAAGCGACTTGGGTTGATTCGTCGGTGCTAACGAACGGAATGACAACCATTCCAAACTTATCGAAAAGAACAAAAATGCATACCTATAAATTGAAATGCTCGTTAATCATTTAAATATTAAGCGTTTTTATTTTCATATGAAAATCGGAAGCTGATGAACGGAATTCAGTGTCATCACACATGTTTCAAATACATCGAGATATTTTAAACAAAAAATCAAATGCATAAATTAATGTATAAATGTGTATTAATATAATAAAACGTTCATTGGCGTTGAAAATAATCTTACCAGTTTATCAAGTTTTGAGTTATCTCATCGACGATTCCAATGGGAATCAATGTATCAATGAAACGACCGCGAATTGTTCCATAAATTTAAACACCGGTCTTAACGGTATGTAAAATAAATAAACTAATTAAAGTCACATCGGTTTCACCCAGTTGAATTCATGTACGAGTGCATGACGAATGTATGCCGTAGAAAAAAAAAGAAAAAATGAAGCTTCGAAAGATTTCAGGTAATAATAAATGTAATCTTAATCTAATATCTAATTCGCGTGAAGAGGTTTTGAATATTTAATTAATTATGTCATACATAAACATTTATACCTCGGTTTATACTTTGGTAATAGCGATTCAGCAACTGTTAATAAAGGCAATTACTAAACCGTTCAAGATGATATTATATACAAGAGTGTACATGGTCTAGACATCACAACTTTTAGACGAAATACGATTCACAATTCGAATTTAAAACCGTTATTAAAAATATTAATATACACAATGATAAATGTCAATGCGGAAATCGTTCCCAGCGGTGATGAAGTAATCGTACACCGAGTATATTTCACCGATAATAAACCAAAAACAATGACGATGAAACGCGTGAAAGTTGACAAAATACGGGGGGGGGACAGAAGAAAAAACATATTCGAACAAAACGCAACGATCTGATAATGTACACACACGGCCGAGGAGGGGGTATATACTTGCGAACGTACTTGTTATCCAGGCAGACTTGGACTTTGCGACCACGCTGGGTTTCCTGGAGGCCGCGGAAGGCGCTCTACGCACGGGTTTCACCACGTATTTGATGTTCCTACGAGCCGACTTTTTCCGCTTCACCCTGTTGTTTCTGGAAGCTGCAACGGCAGCGGCGACCGACCAACCGGATGTCCGGTGGCGCACCGCGTCGTCCTCCGTGTCCGCATCGTCCGTGGACTCTTGCCACCGCGGTTGTCGACCTTTGGATATCGACTCGTACAGCCTGTCTTGCTGGTCGTCATAGTCCACGTCGTCGTCGTCGTCACCGTAACCACGGCCGTTGGACAGCTGCAACCTGGCGTCTTTCGGTACGCAGTAGTCGCGGATCTCAACCACAGGCCGCGCCTTTAGGAGATGCTGCTTCGGAAGATGTTGCTTGGAACGATGGTTATTCTGGGCCGACCGTCTCTTTTCCGGCGGCACGAACATCATGGGGTCCAGTTTGAGCTGTCGCAGAGACGACCTGGCCACCACGACTTGATACAGCTGATCCTGCTGCGCCGGGGACGCGGCCGCTGTTTTGCAGCGACCGGACGGAAACGACGGAGTAGCCGCGGTAGTGGTGGCGGTGACGGGTCGCCGGGGCGCCTTTTTGCGGAATAATTGCTTGGGTGGCCTGGGCGGATCCGACAGCCCGGGGGCGGACAGGCTAAAGCCCGAGTCCTTACCAGAACACGTGGACGCGACGGAAGACCGCGACGCGGTCTTATTGCACGCGATGTCCTCTATGGCCACGCCGGGGTACCGGTGAAACCGTCTGCTCGGCATCGGCCGGTCATCACGCTTGTCTTTGAGCGCGCTCTCCAGCGAGTGGTGCGCCCGCCGGTGCTGGCCTTCCGCGTCTGCCGGCCGAACTGGCAGCTCCAGGCTCCTGGGCGCGGCCGGCGGCAACATCGGTGCGTCCATCCATATCCGTCCTAGACTGATGGCCGAATCGGTGCGGCTGCTGTCGTCGAGCTCCTTGTGAACGCGGTAACGGTACCGAGCAGGCGGTGTGGGTGGCGAACTCGACCGCTTCAGGTTATTCAAGTCCTCCTCGGCACGAATGCACCGGATCCACTCGCCGTAATCGATGACGGGCGCCGCCACGATGGGCAGCGGCGGCGGCGGCACCGGGGCGACCGATTGTCGTTTTTGCTCCGCACAGATGGCCGGTTGCGTCGGCGGTGGTGACGGTGGTGGTGGTGGTGGTAGAGATAGCTTCGGTGGCGGCGGTAACGGTAACGTCGGTGGAAGCGGCGCTGACGGTTGCTGCTGCTGTGGCAGCGTCGACGGTGATAAGTCCACGGCTTTTGCCGGAGGATTTGGCGGACTGTGGCCGGTGGCTAGAGCGACCACCGCGGCCGGAACACCACGGCACGTGGCATTCAGACCGGCCGGCCGGCCGACATCTTCGACAGCCGTGATCGGTTCGGGCAGATCATCGTCTCTTCGAGAAGGCTTTTTGGTAGGATTTCTACCCTTTAGGCCACCGCCTCGATTTTCTAAGTAATTTCTTCGGATCGATATACGTTTGAACGATTCGCTCCGTTTGAACGGCGACTCGCTGCGATCCTTGTTCTTCCGACGACCGCCGATCAGTCGCCGGAGGTTCTCGAAAGTGATCGGTTTCATTCCGCCGACTTCGTGTCCAACGACCGCTGCAGATGCGGTTGTAGTAGTAATACCTTCATCGTCGTCGTAGATATCGCACACACACGCGCGCGTTAAAATATACAACAACACTCGGACACCCGCGAACGTACACAGATCACAATATAATACACACACACACACACACACACACACAGAGAAAGAAAGACACACGAGCGGGGCGCAGCAATGAAAATAAAATGTGAAAACTGTAGCGAGCGCGCGTGCGCACGGAGTACAGAGAGAAACAATATTACCGGCTAAACGACCGAGCGACGAACAACGACTGCGCGGCTATTACGCGGCCAGAGCTGAGCTGCCCCGTAGCCGTCGTCGTCAACCGGTTTCGTGTACCATCGTCGTCGTCGCAACAGCCGCCGCCGCTGCCGCTATGTCGACGTGCACGCCGCGCTTGTATGTGTGTGTGTGTGTGGGTAGGGGGGAACCGGTTGCGATGCAACACACGCACAAAGCGGACAAGTTGCCCCCAAGGTACTTGTACAAGGACGCTGCGCGCGATCGGCGCGTATGTGTGTGTGTGTGTGTGTGTGTGTGTGTGTGTGTGTGTGTGTG